CACTAACGGGCTAAGAATATCACCAGGCTCTCCATTGCGCAGGATAAAACAAAATTAATACTTTTCCTCCGAAGGCTTGTCTTGTCGCCTGGCAACAGCCTGGAAGGCCGATTAGAATTCTGTTCTTGTTTGCAGCTTTTAGTTCTGCTCAGTAAATTACATTTAATGTTAGCTGCCTGTATCCTCATCATTGAAATGCTTTACAAACAGCTCCCTGTGTTGCCATTGCCTACTGTGGACTGTTGGACCTTGGCAACAGCCAGAGAAACTACTTCACAGACAAAGATTTCAACGACAGACCACATGATGTCTAGCCTAAAGAATTTTTATACAAGGACACGCAAAAGAGAGGGAAGTGTTCTCCTTTATTCTCTCCCACTGTGTCACCAATCAATTTGTACATTAAAAACACATCATATTGTTGATGATAGACAGGAGCAGGTCATGTGACTGCGCACAGACACACTGGGTTGAATGGTGCAGCGTTGCTTTATTCTTTTTCCCTCAGCCCATAAATGAAAGAGAAAAGGGAACTCCTATAGCTCAGCACAAACAGAAAGCTACACTCCGGCCGGCTAATGAGTTCAAGGTAAACATCAAAAACACATTTTACTACAACTGAACAAGCAGCCATTTCAGTGTACAATGTACATGGCCTCTTTGAGTTTTATACGTACCATTATACAGAGCATTATGATTTTACTAAAGAGGCTTCAATAAATAGAGAAATTTAAAGGTGATCCAGTTGCTTCTGCCTCGGGTAAAGCAATGTCATCCTGCAGCTCAAGATCTTACTTCATATTTTCTGCAAGATTGAGGTGACAATGTCATTCCTGCTCATATACACATCACAAACGTGGCTGCTCTAGGCTGGGCGACTGAAACGATTACAAACTGAAAACTGAGGCCCACTTTTGGTAATCAATTCTGTCAGTTCCAATGTCACATTATCACCTGTCTGCTCTAAGGAGAACAAACCCAGCTTTTCCAACCTCAACTTGTAGTCAAATGTCCCCCACTCCTGGTGGGTATCAACTTCACAGTTTGTTGCCACTGGCACATCTTGAAACTTTATGCTGTATTCCAATAAATGGATAATTTTTATTCACAAAAGCGCTGATCCCTGGGAGACTCCAGTGTTCCCAACCTCCAGGTGCAGAAGCACCCATTTACCACAGCTTGCTGCTTTCTGATAATGTTTTATCCAAGGTAACACCGATCTTCCTATTCCATGAGCCTGAATTTTGTTAACCAGCCTTTTAACTGGCGACCTGTTAAAAATCGCTCAGTGATGTATAAAAATATCACTTGGACCTCAAGTAGTTCACTGGTGTCAGTTTATTGATGCTCTGCCTAATCCATATCATTGTTAGCTCACCACATGATCTCCAGGTTTGACTCTGGACCCCTTCCATTTTCCTATCAGGTTTTTACGTATCAGAATTCTAATGTAACCAGGTTTCTGTAACTTGAGCTTTCCTCCATTCCCTTCCTGGGTGGGTCTGGGCTGCCGTTTTGGATCTCAGCCCGTCAATCTATTTCCACTTCTCTCTTCGGCTCTCCTGGGCCATTGCAATGCTTCCTTCCACTTCTTTGGTTTCCGTTACCCTGCCTTTCCACTATGTGACTCCAACCCTTCAGGACTCGATCCTGCTCTCCTGCCGCCGTGCCAGGCTAAACATCATTAGGTAAGCCCACAGTCTCCCTCTGTGCCCCTCTTAGCATTCTAGTTCATTACAAGCAGCAATCCTAGTTGTCTCATCCCATTGACCTATCCAACTGGCTCTAGGCTAATCGTGCCAGTCTTCTTCCTCTCCAACTCACCTTTGCTGACCCTATGGACTCTACCTCTTATCACTCCTTTCTCTGTCCACTTGTGAGCATGGTGCTTGCCCCTGGGGATAGCTGAATCAACATCAAGGTCTGAACAGAAACCTGGCTGAGGGTCTTAACAATTCACCCTCTAATGAGACCACCCGCCCAACTACATCGTCTGTCCGTCGCTGGTCATGGTGACACTGATCACCAGATCACCCCCGTCACCTCTATTTCAAAATCATCATTCTATATCAGTCTCCAAAGTACAATAAAAAACATTACCATTGAGATTTCTTCCCTCAACCTCTACCCTCAATCATCCCCAGTGATTTGCAACCTCCATCTCCGCTCATCATGTTCTCCGTCCTCTTGAGTTCTCCGCGCTCCAGTCCTCCTTAAATCTGTCCTTCCACGTAAGCTCCCCAACCCATATTCACAGGACACACCGTTGACAGTACTGTCTCATGTGGTCTTACCAGTCCCTCTGTATCAATGACAGACCAGGCCATTTCCAATCACTATTCCTCCACTGACAATTCTTTCCACTTTCAGTCCTGCGTCCATCCTTGAAAAATGCTATTTCTCAAACTCACTTACAACTGCATTTGCAAGACCCCAACTATTTAGCATTTGACACTTCATTTGTCCACAATATTTTTGCAGCTACTGCTTGACTCAACTGCATCCTCCCCTCCAACTGACAGCCCAGTCCTCGAGAAATCATTCCTTCTTCCTCACACTGCTCACTCCTCCTGGTTTGACCCTGAACTTTGTTCCCTCAAGTTCAAAGGTCATAGACAACAATGGAAATGGCAGACAACAGGGTCTCACCATCACTGGATCACTTAACCTACTGCTGGATTCTGTTCTCATCTGCTCAAATTGTTCAGCATTCCAGGATCACCCTGGATTGCAAAAATTAGTCTGCTTCTTTCTTAAACCCTTCTCCCTTCCACCAACCCATGTGAGAAGCTCATGGATTTATTAGTCACCAAAATCAAGACCACCTGATCAGTGGCCTTTGCATTGATTTCCCTACCTCCTCTCCCCCCAAATACAGTCAGACCCAATTTCCTTTAAAAGTTCTTGCAGCCTTCCTCTGAATTCATATCTTCCCCTTGTCTCCCCCTCATGTCTCCCCTAGTCTCCCTCATATCTTCTCCTAGTCTCCTTCGTATCTTCCCCTAGTCTCCCTCATGTCTCCCCTAATGCCAACTTCAAACTCAATCTGTCTTGAGATCCACTTTTTGCTGCCTTAACTTGATCCACTCTAACCTGCTGGGCACCCAACCACGCGTGCACATCGGCTGATATTGTAAACCATTCTCTTTCTTCTGGTGCTGTCTCCCTCACCTTTCGAGCTGCCGTCATTGACCCTCTCTTTGATAAGAACAACCCTTGACCCCTCCGCCCATGCAAAACATCAACCTCCCTTTCCTTTCCAAACCCCTGTTACATCTCAAATCCGAGTCCATCATTTCTACAGCCTCTGTATTTTCAGGTTTCCACCCCTGACACAGCAGGGCTCTTCTCAAAGTCGCAAATGGCATCCCATGTGACTGTGACAAATGTAACCTTTCCTTCCTTATCCTTCTCGAGCTGCGTGCGGCCTTTGTCATGATCACCAATACTAGCCTTCTGCAAAGCCTCTCCACTCTGAGGCTGGGTGTGACTGCTTTCACCTGGTCACATTCCTATTTATTTGCCAGAGAATCACTTGCAATGACTTCTCTTGCATTTGCACCATTACCACTGGTGCCCGCCCTATGATCTATCCCCTGCCTGGTTCCCATCCACATTCTGGCCCCATGCTCCAAAAGCACAGTGTTCATACTGACACAGGTGCCGACACCATCCAGCTCAACCTGACCACCATCTCCCTTGGACCATCCACTCTTGCAAAATTATCCAACTGCTTATCTGACTTCCAGTACTGAATAAGCAGAAATTTTCTCCAATCAAGTCTCAGGAAAAATAAAGCCCTTGATTACGTTCCCTGCTCCAAACTTTGTTTCCTAGCTACTGAGTCCATCCCTCTCCCTGGCAATACTCGGAGGTTAACCAGTCTGTTCACAACTGTTGGTATCAGTATTTGACTCCAAGATGGGCTTCTGTCCACATATCTATGCCAACTTCAAGACCATGTAATTCCACCTTTGTAACATTGCCTGACTTCACGCCTCCTCAGCTCATCTGCTGTTGAACTCCTCCATGAGTTCATCACCTCTGGACTTGACTATTCCAAGGCACTCTTGGCTGGTTTTCACACACCCCGCCCACCAACCTCAGATCATCCAAAACTCTGCTGCGCTTGTCTTAAGTCACCCTAAGACCTCTGCACCTATCATGTCTGTACGAGGTGACTCTAGTTTGACTGGGACCCAATGGATCTCTTGACTGCAAAATTAGCATCCTTGTTTCAAATCCCTCCATGGCCTCACCCCTCCCTATTTCTGAAATCTCCAAACCCAAAATCCTTTGAGATATCTGATATCTAATCCCTGTCTTTTGAATATCTCCAGTTTAATTGCTCTAACATTGGCAGCTGTGCCAATAGTTGCCTCTTTAATACTTTATCCACACCTCACTACCTCTCTATTTCATTTTCCTCCCTTCAGACACGACCTAACTTCAACTCCTTTGGCAAAATTTTCAAGCATCTGGCCTGGTATCTCCTGAAGCAGCTCAGTGTCAAATTTTGGTTTCTAACGTTGCTTTGAAATGCCTCACTCTATTAAAGGTGATACACGAGTTGTTTGTGGTTGAATATAAAAGATTTCAGGAAAAATAAATTGCAAAGTTTAGTGGCAGTGGTGTTTACTTCCATTTCCCCTAAAATTATCATCGGGCAAACAGCAAACACTGTGCCCCTTTTATAAATGCAACACAATTAATCGAGACATAACAGTGAAATACGAGAAGAACCTCATAAACATAAACTATTCACAGCGTCAACTGCACCCTCCAGTCCCTGAGGGACCCAGCGGTTGGGGATGATCTCAAATATACTCGTGGATGAGGCTTTCCTTCGCTGGGCTTGGACAAGATCCTTGGAACCACCAGAATTCTCACTCAAGCAGGGCCATGTCCACCTGGGACTGGGGATCGTCACCTTGGCCGTGCCTAGTCTCAATGAGACTGAGGAGGAGGACTCGGCAACATGGAAGATCCTCCCCACACACCTCCACAGCCATCCTTGGCACTGGGGTGACCCTGTACCTCAAACACTCTAACGCATTCAACAATTAACACAGGAACAGAGAGGTCACCCGACTGAGTGACTGTTGAAGCCATGGCGTTCATCATCTTACCTTTCATGTTGTTCATAGACAGCGAGCGATCCCTGTCAATCACGCCAGCTCCTGGTTTGCTGCTGTTGTCTTTCTGCCTGGCCACTGCCACTGCAATGCCCACAGGCGGATGCCTCACCTCCACCTCGCCCTGCATTGATTTGGCACTCTCTGGCCTCTCCGGGTCTTTCTTCAGCTGTTTGCTGAGCTGCTGAATGGGTAGGTGCTGCATCTTTGACACACCGTGCTGACCGGAGTCCGTCTTCACGTTGCCGAGTCCGCCGAACGGGCTCTTCTTGCCGCTTCCGGGCCGGCCCGCGGTCTCTTTGGCGAAGCTGCCGCTGTACTTGATGAGGCTCTGCATGGCCGAGACCTCGCTGGGTGTGCCCGCCACGGCCGACCTCTGCAGGCCCGTGGGGTCCAGGAAGGTTTTCTTCTGTTCCTCGTCCGCTCTGCTGCCGTGGCCGTGCTGGGCGGCCAGCGCCGCCATCTGAGTGGTGGCGTAGGTGGCCATCTCGAATGGCTTCCATTTTGGCTCCGGGGTGCACGAGCGCTTCAGCTGGGACTGCTCCAAGTGCAGCCTGGTGACGTCCACCCCATTGAAAACCTTCGGGGAATCCTTCAAGCCGGCCCTCTGGGCTCGCTCACGCTCCTGGCTTCTGTGATCGACCTCAAAACTTGACCTCGCGGAGTCTTTCGACAGGGCGCCGCTCGAATGCAGGTCCCTGGTTTCCGAAGGACTGAGGCCTGGTTTGCTCAGGAACAGTTCAGAGGTCACAGGCCTCTTTATTGCTGAAGAGTTGGACCTAATCACCGACCCTTCCTCCCTCACATTGTCTACCCTTTTACTCTCTGTGTGTGCAGGCAGATCCTGTGTCACCATTAACCGGGAGGAATCCACCAGTGTCCTTTCTGAGGGGCACTGCAAACTGCCTGCTCTATCACTAGTCGCTCTGCTCATATCCTTGTCTTTACACTTGTCGCTCTTATTGTCTCTAGCCTGAGAAGCGATCTGAATGGGCCCGTTTCTGTTCTCATAAAACCCAACCGAAGGCACAAAGGTAGGTGCAATAACTTTATGTTCCTTTCCCGGCTCCCTGGCAGTGGGGTAGATTGTGTAGATACTGGAATGGACAGGAAGAGGAGGGAATGTGCTCGAAGATGGCATCCGTGCGGTTTGAGAGGAGTGGGGTGATGGACAGCCACAGGAAACGTGCAAAGTGCCAACCGAGGTCACCACAGTGTCACACTTGCGTGTCTTTTCTGTGTGGGCGTGCAGCAGAGGTCGCATATTCTCGTCGTGCTTAGCAGAGTCTTTGGAGCATCTGTCCTGTTCGGTGATGGGGAGTCTCAGTGAGGAACTGGAGCCACTGTTACAATTACTGAGAGACAGGGTCTGCAGAGGATTCTTCGACTTTGGCTCTCCATTCCCAGTTCCCCGGTTCGGAGAGTGATTGGTAAGAACCGTAGAGTGATGTTCACTGGCCTTGGCAGCCTTGTCAAGAAGATGGATCCTCCTATCATTATCCGTCCTTCCATCTTGTGTGAGGTCCACCACACTCCTGGGCCGAGATTCTTCCCTGGACTTCTCCTTTTTAGCCATGTTTATGTTGACCTCAGTCCTGTATACTTTTTCTTTTGAGTCTTTCGCTGCATACCTCTCCGACTCTTTCGCGCTTTTCTGCAGATGACACATTTCCTTTTCTCTCAGGATTGAGCCTGACCCGTGACTGGATGTCGTCCTGGAGATGGCGGTTTGCGGGTGCGCAGCACCATGAAGGGCTGATTGTCCTGCGTGGCTGTGTAAGTAATATCCTTCTGGAATGAAAACAAACAGAGGAACGCATGTCAACGCATTGTCAAATGTCAGCAGTGTTCCTCAGCCTTCTCTTGGTGTGTTGGTGCACAAGTGAGACTGGAGGGGTCAGGGGCTTTCAGCTCTAGGGCCTTTCATGGCAGAATTCTGACTAAACAGTCACCAAGCAGAAATGTGGGACAGAATTTACCAGAACTTGCTGGATGGTCATGATGTTTTGGGAGAGGGCCGCTATAATCAGTCAGGGGCGCCTGTGTCCAATTCCTGACAGTCGGAAAACCGTACTGAGTTTAGCAGGCGTGCGGGGTCCTGCTGGCTTCTGGTGAGATATCAGGTGGTCTCTTCAAATGAGCACCTTTGGTAACTTGGCAACAGGAGGAGACCATTATAAGGGGACTTGTAAACTTGCTGCATCTAGTACCCTGGGTGAAATATTAAGGCCTCCTGCCCCGAGATAGTGGGGAATGACTTACCACCCATTCCTGCTGTCCTACTGATAACGCAATAGGGGCCTAGCAATAGGTGGCAGCAGCATCTGCCTGAGTCATCCCTTTGAAAATGCAAACTAGGACCCTGTGTCACTTTAGGTCAGTCACACTCAGCTGCCTGTCCAGCTGGAAAGAAGGCCAAAGATCAGACCAAAGATTAGGCTTCCCCTCAAAACCAACACGGCTGCCCAAAACTGGAAACCCTCATCGACATTCTGCCAGCCTGGGGATTGTTGGTCAGCCTGAGGGATATTTTTGGCATCCCACAGGGTTGCAGCTGACCCCAAATTCATAATTCCTACCTGCTACTTGCTGGCTAAAATGCCAATCAGACTTGCCCATTGAAGCGGACCAGATTACTCAGGGAGAGGAAAATGTCCAAAATGGGGATAGCGGCTCTGAGCAAAGTACCACAGTGTAATGAAATATCGCCTCCTGATCATGTGCACAATGTAGCATTGATCAATTTTCATTCTTTTAAAACTGTTGAGTTCCAACACAAAAAAAGAGAGACAACCTAATGGGGTCGTGCACCCAGAGCTAGAAATTTAAATCCTCACTCACCTAACATTTGCTAGGGGTTCTACTAACTGGGAAGAATTCCATTCATATTCAGCTGAGCTACTTAATACGATAGAGACAATCCCACTTTGCAAATTTCACTTCTTATCACGGCTTGGCATTGATCAATGGCCATAGATCAGGCTTACAGCCCGGATGATTCCACTCTCCGAGCTAAAGGATGTTTAAAATATGGGATGCAGTTACCTCAAGCTTAACGTGGATCTCTTGTTAGACCCAGCGCCTGTGCTTCGGTACAGTGGCATACAAATAGCTGGGTATCTATTTCCCAGCTTGTCAGATTTACCAGGAAAGTTCAGATTTAGTGCAGTCCTTTATCCTGGGACATACTGTAACAAATGACTAGCCAAGGAGACCTTGTGTCCTCAAGCTGCATCGCCAACACGAAGTCAGTGATTGATGTGGTAGATTTGCTTTCATACTATCAGTTAGGTTTCTAATAAATCTCCCGTCAATTTTGAGGTTTTGGAAAAAGTGCAGTCAATTACAGAAAAAAAATCATATTTGATTGAAGTCTGCAGATGTACTCCAATGTCTTGTGTTGAGATCCCAATCACTCTTCCTACTGTTTGTAGACATTGTGATCAAGTCATAAAGGGTACAAACTGATCTGTGAGTGGCACCCGTTTATTGGGACTGAAACTGGTTAGCAGCCATGCCAATTTGGATAGTGTGGTCTGTTTAGGACTTAATCTCACTTCAGTTCATGGGGGTCTATTTGTTTTCAGTACCTTAATAGCCACCTAAAATGTGTGTGCTAGGCCCATTGTATCTGTAAATCGGAGGCCTAGCATTATCAAACAATCCCTTTCCTAGATTTGTTAGCAAGTAAGACAGTGGGTCTTTCAGCCGTGAATGAAAAGTCAATTTGTCTTTTTTCGAATGTAAACCGTTTCCTGAGGAACCAGGAAGGGTAATGACGACAAATCTACAGACATCAAAGCCCAGTTACTCCTATTAGGCCTTATCCAAGGTCAGCTGTCAGCCTAGTATTGGCCCAAAACTGGTTACAGCTTTACTGCCAAAATACTTGGGGATGCACAGTAGGTGTCCTCTGTGTGTTGGTCTAAGTTAATTGAGGTCCAATTCTGGTCAGGCCTTAGGCCTACCCATTCCAGCACAATGATTGCTACGTGCACTTACTTCCTGCCACCAGGCATATTCTCAACCCTGTAAGATTCAAGTCCTAATAACACAAAAAAAAACACTCTGCTTCAATTATCCATTCCTGGAATATTTGGGGAGTATAAATGATTTTTTT